AGAGAGAGAGAGAGAGAGAGAGAGAGAGAGAGAGAGAGAGAGAGAGAGAGAGAGAGAATGAGAATGTGGACGAGGGCAAGGACAAGGAGAAGAACAACAATGAGAGGGGCAGAACTGAAAACGCATTGCAAGCGGTGGATGGAGAGAGATTGAAAATGACAATTATGAATGAAAAGTTTATTTTTGCAAGAGGTGTACTCTGATGGCATTGCCATCTCTCATTACGTGCTCTTAAACCACCAGTATTTATTTATTTTTGTGCGCACAGCCTCCTTTTCGCTGGTGCTGCCATCCATCTTGCCTCGGTAGGCTGGCCTGCAAAACTTGCGGCTCGTTAATGGCCGCGTCGGAGAAAAATGGCTGGGCGAAGTACTGGTGGTTTAACCGTCCCTCAATCCCAGCGAATAGCCAATGCCAGAATAGCGAATGTCAGAATAGCCACTGCCAGAATAGCCACTGTCAGAATAGCCACTGCCAGAACAGCCAGTGTAAGCATAGCCAGTGTAAAAGCTTCCATAGTAAAGACTGACCACTGTAGTGACAGCGATTGTGAGAATAGCCATTGGAAAGAATTGCCACTGTAGGGATAGTGATTGTGAGGATAGCCATTGGAAAGAATCGCCACCTGACGAATAGCCACCGTAGTTATAGCGACCAGACGAATAGCCGCTGTCAGAATAGCCACTGTATGCATAGACTCGTTAAAGCACCAGTACACCACGTATCGGCCCACGGATGTCAGCACGAAACCCGCACGACTTCGGAGGCCACCGATTCTTTTTTCCAACGGCGGGCCAGGCTGCGCGGAGCCTCCAAGTTTTGCTTGTGGTGACAAAAACTTTCTGCAAGGCTGGGACCGTGTACTAGCGGCTTAAGAATAGCCCCACTCGACTGAACGGGAACCCTGCTTTGACCGAATGTGAGACCTGGTTCGTCTAGATTGATTTGATCGCCTGAACGTGGCCCTGAATGCCGTCATATTCATTTGTGTAACATTGTACTTAGCCAGTTGCTGTCCTGCTGTGCCATGAAATAGGGATTTGCTTCACTGTCTGGCTCGATTGCCTGAATGTGGCCTTGAATGTGCTTCTCCAGACTCCTCCTCCTTTATCCTGTTTTTTCAAAAGGGCTATTGCATGAATGTGGCCCTGAACGTGGTTGGATTCGCTTGTTTGTATAGGTCCATTGGCTTGGCCTGAAGGCTCTGAGATATTCATAACGTTTACACAAACAACCCCACCGTAAAGATTTTGGCCGAATGTGGCCCTGAATACAGGTTAGATGCCAAAAAATAACCACCCATGTTAACCACGTGTATAGTACAGTTGGATCCATTTGCCGTCCAGCGCGTTTGCGTGAATGTGGTCCAGAATGTGGTCAAAGATCAG